GGGGGGGGGGGGGCGAAGGGCCAACTGTGCTTCTGCCCCATAAAACTTTACAGCCCTAAGGGCCGTGTCTTACAGCTCCCGCTTAGGTCCTGTGCTGGTCACCTCCAGATGTGCAGGGAACGGAAGCTGTCACCAGTGCAGAGGTCATCACCAGGGTCTCAGAGCAGGGATATGGGGGTCCCCCACATTTAGCGTGAGTCACGGGGAGTGTGCCAGGTTGTGTGTCCTTCAGTGGCCTAAGATGACCCTGAGATGCCGACTTGACAGTGACTTCGCACGTGTGATGAACAGGGGGTGATTAAGTGCAGACTCTGGAGCCTGAGCTCGAAGTTCAGCTCGACCTCTCCCTGTGCCTCAGCTTCCTCACCTGTAACGTGAGGTCACAGCCGTAACCCAACTCTCGGGGCCGTTGTGACTTAAACTTGCAAAGTGCTTGGCCAGTGCCTGACGCCAAGCACGCTCTTAGTAAACGTTAACGGATCTACATTTTTTTCCACGGAAATCCTTCAGAGCCAGTTCTTCCCTTAGACGCTGACTGTATCTATGAGATGACCAAGCGAGTATCGCCCCAAAAAAATAAGTCCTTGTTTTTTAAGACTGGCTTACACTTTGTGATGTGATTTTGTACACATTAACCTCTGTGGGAAGCAGGTCAAGGCAGGTGTTCGTGACCTCAGCTTTACACAGGAGAAAACTTGAGGTCAGAGAAGGTAGGCAAGTCCCCCAACCCCCCAGCCAAGGTTGGGTAGACAGAGGATGGGTCTTCCAGTGCCTTTTATCCTCACATCACCTGGTTACTCTTCAACACCAGAAAGTCAGTGTTCTCACAGACTTCCTTCCCATCACCACCAAGTCCAAAAAACACCAAGTCTCAGCTGTCCAAATATTTTTCAGCCTCCGGCTTTTGGATAAGTGATTTGGTTCATGCTTGTCCCAAACAAATATAAGTGGCACCAACAGAAAGACAGGCTCCCAGGACAGGAGGAAGGGCTTGGTTCCCTGCTGTCAGGGAACTGTTTCTCTCTTGCTAAAGTATGCCCAGAATTCTAATTCGTTGTAGCATTCAAGGGTGCTGAAAGCCTTGGGCAAAAACTGAGATGCTACCAGACTCGTTCTTCAAGGAAAGGGTGAAGTGCGTGTGTTTACCAGTAGGTGGCGATAGAGAAATGAGGCGAGCCGACCGTTTAAACTTCTAAGTCATAAATATTTGAACAGGGAGATCATCTCACCCAACGTGCTAATGGGATTCGCAGAGAAATTAAGGTTCACAGAGGGTAGGAGACTTGTTTAAGGTGTACGCCTGGTTAATGGCTGAGCCAGATTAAACTCAGTTCTCACCACTAAATCAGAATGTGCACGAACGCAGACGGCCTTTCAAAATAGCCGGGCACCTTCATCCTATGAAGGAAAACATCACTTCTTTTGGGTGTGTTACTCATTTCAGCCTGCCGCAAAGCTGATGGGCTGATTACACTTTCTGAGCTGGGGAGGTGGGGACAGAAGGAAGGGACAGAGGAAGAGAAACAGCTATTTTGGTGTCCTTATAAGCCTTCATAACACGTTTGTGCTGCCTCTGAGCCCCTCCTGGCCATGATTCTCCAAAAGACGTCAGGGACTATTGGGTAAGAATCCCCCTCCCTTCCTGACCATGCTTTCCACCTTATCAACCCCAGTTTATAGTGGGGCATTAAACATTTTACTGCACATAGAAATGCCCGGTGACTCTGCTTTATTCTGCATGAGGCACACAATGAGCAGCCGAGCCCCAGGAAATGAGTGGACTGCCCACTCCCTGACGGGGCCAGATTTGTTCTGTGTGGTTCTAAGGAAGAGAACATAAAATAGATGGGTGAGTCAAATGTACCTGAAATGATATTGGGTATATGCTGGGCGCTTAGTAAGTGTGGATGGAGGGGTGGATTAAGATTTCCGATCAATATGATGAAAAATTTTCTAACAGTCTCAACGGTCCGAGAAGAAATGTACTGTCTTGGTTGGGTATGTAATGAGTTCCCTGTCTCTGGCGGTATCCAAGCACCAGCCATCCACTCACTTGGTAGTGATGTTGTGGAAGCATGCTGGGGAGGTTGGTCTGGATTGGATGAGCTTTTAGGTCCCCTTGAATCCCGGGATTTTTATAGTCCATGATTCTTGGTGCACAGTAAAAGAAAGGAAAGGGCAAAGATGTTTTTGTCTTTGGTTTTCAGAGCTTCCCAGGAGAAAAAACGCTGTAGGTTTTAGGTGGTATCTTCCTAACGTCTGGTCCCGTGTTCTTTTATTGAACTCTCTGCCACAAGTGGAAAATGTTATCATCCGGGCAGTTTACTTGAAAGTTTCTACTGGTTTCACCTAAATAACAAGTTTGCTTCTTTTTAATTTTGAAAATCAGGGGAAATGGACTTGTGGAAACCTGGATCGGTCCTTTTAGATGCAGGTAATTATACAGCCCAACCCCCTGGCCATGACTAGATGGAGACATAGGATTACAGAATCACGAGAGTCTGATAATCCAGCTGGTGGCACAGAGGCCACTGTTGTCCACCGGATAACGAAAGGGAAGTGAGAGTCATGAAGACCCGAACGTACAAGGGAGTGAGTTCCTCACCCCAAAGTTAGGTTTAGAGGCTCACTCCATCTCGAAGCACACTCTGACTTCCTTCTATTGCCCTGTCCTTCTTTGCAAAGTGGTATTCAGCTTGGCCCTTGACATGAATGAGTGTTGCTCGCTGTTTACTGTCTACTGAATTAAGGGTCTGAAACTCCAACAGCAAACACAGCCTTCTGGCTCTCGGTCTGAGGGTAGATTTTACTGGTAGGGAACGACGGGGTGGAGGAGAGGCCTCTGGCCTCACGTTTCTTCCCCCCTCCCTCCAACATGGAGCCTTGGACAGTTTCCCTGAGAGGCTCCTGGCTGAGAAATGCCGTTAGACACCCAAAGCGAATTTTCAAAATGATGTGAGGAAGTGGGATGAGCAGACTGACCTTTCATGGAAAGATGAAATCATGTGCTTGGCAAATTGGAAAAACTAACAAGCCTGGAGAAAGCTCACCACAGCCAAGAGCAGAGCCCCCCGCACTTCCCTCCTCTGACGGAGCCTCTGGGAGGGCACCCCACACTCCAGGCATGCTGAAAATAGGAAGACCAACTTCCCAGGCCATCTTATTGATGGTCTTTATTCCCTTATATGATACATGTGTGAACTTGGCTTCCATGTAAATGGCTCTAAAGCACATTCCCAAGGCTGAAATTCAACACACACACACACACACACGCACGCACGCACGCACGCACTAAAAGGACAAAACCCTTTTGTAGCTTCCCCTCTAATCTCAGGCTGTGGAGGGGAGGGGTTGCGTTCTAGATCCTCTCACTTGTTGGAGTTGCTGGTATCTTATCTCCTGCCCTGCAGCTTACATCCCCCCCCCCCCCGAGTTAGACTAGCCATGTGTCTCACCCATCTTTGTGCATTGACTCAGTCACCAAATGTTGACCGAGGACCTATGGTGATAGGCACCGTGAAGGTTTATACGATGGGTAAGACACATGCCCTGACCTTGAGATTTTCAGAGTTTTACAGAGGGATAATTCACGCTGGCAAAGTGCTTACTGCTTGCAGGTAAGGCAACTAAGGCTCAGACAGACTCAGTTAACAGGCAGTAGGGAACAGAACTCAAGTTTCTGACTTCAGACCCCTGAGCACCCATAAGCTGCCATGTCTTTTGTAGACTGTCAGTAATTCAGTCTTATCTCTCAAGGTGGGGGTGGTGTGGAGAAGAACACAGTCAAGCCTGTAGCCAAGCCCCTCACCCTGCAGCTGGGTGTGAATATCCATTATGTCCCCATCCCTGGGGTAAGGCCAGATGCTTCCTGTTCTTGTAAGTCACCAAAAGTTTTACTGCTCTTTCCAGGATTTGTTCCAAAAGAAGAATTAAGCACGCAGGCTTTGGAGCCGCTATCCCAGGGAGATCCAAGTAAGTTAACTGACAACTAGAGACCCATAGTGGCCGTGACATCCAATCTGCTTCCCTCTCTCCCCGCTTACTCCCACCCAAACCCACCTCTTTCCCACCCTGGATCTATTGAGCTCCTCTCTTCTGTCACTTTGTTCTAAGGGGAAAGGGAAGCTTGTGGAGGATTTAAACTGTGTACACGAAGGGGAGAGGATCGGATTTTTTAAACATCACTATGGCAACAGGGTGGGATGGAAAAGGGAGACAAAGGAGGGGGGTAGAGGAGGAGACTGGCTTGCCAGCAGGGCCAGGGGCTTACTGGGCATGAGGGCAGACAGAGCTCCGAGCTGGAACTGGAAATGGAGAGAAACAGGAAACAGAGAGGAAGAATCTAGAGGCTTGGAGGGGGAGGTATGAGAGAGGAAGCAGCTGGGCTAATGGTACTGCCATGAGGTCCACAGGGGTAGGGCAGGGAGATGGTTTCTGTCTTCCATCTTCTGAAAGTCATTTGGTCCAGTAGGTGCCTGACTCCCCAGATCTGACTTGAGAAGGAGGAGCCCCCTGGGAATTCAGAGTTGGAAGATGATGAGCTAGGGTTTAAAACCAAGGTCATGAGAACAGGAAAGGTGACCTAGGGAAACCAGAGGGCTTAATCATGAAGAACTTCCAGGGTGCCTGGGAGCCTTAGTCACTTAAGCATACGACTCTCGAGTTCGGCTCCAGTCATGATCTCATGGTTTGCAAGATTGAGCCCTGTGTTGGGCTCTGTGCTGACACAGTGGAGCCTGCTTGGAATTCTCTCTTTCTCTTTCTCTCTCTCTCTCTGCCCCTCCCCCACTCTCTCTCAAAATAAATAAATACATTTTTAAAAAGTGAAAAAACTTGAAGAACTTCAGCACTAAATAGGTGGAGAAGCCACCTGAGGATACCAGACAGGAGGGATCCGGGCGGGGTTGGGGGGGAAAGAGGAAAACCGAGAGGCAGGTGAGTGCTACAGGCCCAAGGGAGCACCCGCAGATTCCCCTAGAAAGTCGCTGCAAGTCAGCTACCAGGGCGCTGTGAGCCCCAACCCAGCTGTGTGTGAGAATCACCTGAAGACTCAAGATGTCCAGTTCCTGCTCATACCTACTGAATCCCACTCACCCTAGATCTTGCTACTCAGTGTATGGTCTGGCCACGTCAGCATCACCTGGAGGCCTGTTAGGAAGGCAGAATCCCACGCTCTACCCCAGACCTACCGAGTCAAGTGATTTCTTTGCACATCAAACCTTAAGAAGCACAGCCCAGAGAGATTCCCAGGCATTCTTACTTGTTGAAGCTGCATAAGCGACTCTGATATATATCCAGGGTTAAGAAACACTGGCCTAATGTATGAGACAACACAAAGCATTAATCTATAAAAATTGTATCATGTTGGAGAAAACCAAAGCAATTAAGAAAATTGGTAGATTGATTCCCGTAGACACTATATCTTACCTTTTCTTCCTCGTCTTCCAACCTCTGCCCTCTGTGACCGTAATAAATTGTTCATGCTGAACATTTAGTAACTCAGTTCTATCCTGTAGTAGTGATGCCATCTTCATATCGGCATGTTTTCCTCTCACTACGAGAAAGCCGCTGTGTCTCAGTGAGCACATGCGCAGAGCTGAAAGCCAGATCAGTAAAGCATTCTGGGCAATGGGGAGCACAGGTGATTCCAATGTCAGCCATCAGGTAGTAGTAAAGAGACCTAAGCAAATAGAGAGCATCTCAACTTCTTTATAGCCTAGCTATGAAGTGAACACTTGAATCCTGAACGAGGTTCAAGTTGTAAGAAATGAGAAAAAATTGTCCATGAAGAAGAGGCTCATTGCTTTATTTAAGTAAGCTCCACACCCAACATGGGACTTAAACTCCTGACCCTGAGATCAAGAGTCAAAGTTCTACAAACGGAGCCAGCCACGTGCCCCGTGGGCTTTATTTATTTAAAAAGAAAACCGCCTTTAGAGTGCCTGGGTGGCTCAGTCGGTTAAGCATCCAATTTCGGCTCAGGTCATGACCTCCCGGTTCCTGAGTTCAAGCCCTGCATCAGGCTCCTTGCTGTCTGCGAGGAGCCTACTTAGGATCCTCTGTGTCCCTCCCAGGCTCAAAAATAAACATTCTTTTAAAAAAAGAAAGGAAGTCACTTCGGGGCCTTATTCTAATTAACAGTTATTAAAAAAAAAAGTTTTCATTTCAAAAGAAACTAATCTACTGACATCTAGAAGAAAAAGCCCTGTTCAGGAGTGCTTCTCAAACTTTAATGTGCACACAGGTCACCTGGAGGTCTTGCTGAAATGGGGATCTGATTCTGTAGATCTGGGTGGAGCCTGGGAGTCCTCATTTCTAGCAAACCACAGGTGCCTGCCTGGTGAGCGGCAAGCCCTGAAGAACACCACTGCCACCTGCTGGCAACAATTCTCATTGCAAGCTCAGACATAGGAAAGAATGGGCTGGCCCCGTGTGGGGTACATCAGTAGCCCTAGAACTGTTCTGCTTCTCTTCTGCTTTTTCCCAGGCTTCTGTGACATCTTTAAGCTTCACTTCTTGATTTTCTTTGATTCCTGTAATCTTCATCTCAAGGATCATGCTTGGGTATAGGCAGTTTGGGGGCAGCAAAGGACAGGGGAAGCCAGCAGAAAAAGAAGAGTTGGCCGGCACTAAATGTCCAGGCAGACAGGAAGTAAAAGTTTGCAAGATCCACTAATGAGCCAAGGCACTGATTCCAGATGGAGCAGAGTCAGCCAGGCCCAGAGAGGTCGCTGTCATCGCCTACTTCTCCCCTCGCTTTCATTGCCATGCACCAGTGCAAGATAATGAAGCACATTCTCAGATACAACTTTTTTCCCTTAATCTGCCAATTCCGTAGTATCACTCTTTAATAAGTATTTCTCATCAAATCTGCTTAAAACTGTGTCAATTCATGTCCATTTCTTGTTCTCATATTTTATATATATATATATATAT